CGGGCCGGGCCGGGCCGTGCGGCCTGTGGGGCGGGCGGGGAGCGGGGCCGGGCCGCGGGCGGTGTTGGTGTTGCCTTCTGACCAGAGAACGCTGATGTTTAACGAGCTGTTGCTTCTTGCAGTCCCGAAGATATGACTCCAGAACTACCACCTTCTCTCTGGAAGGTATTTTTTTAACCTACGCTTTCTGGTAAACCGTCACTGTTTCATCCAGCGTCTCGGAATTAAAAGACAAGTCACTCGCGCGAAGGTTGGCTGTTTATAATGTGTTCCCAGCCATGTTTACCTGTTAGAAGCAGCCCCCCGTTCTGTAAGGGCACCAGGGGCCCACAGTGGAGACTCCCAGGTTCATTCCAACTCCAGCCATAACGAAACCATTTCCCATTAGTCAGCAGAGCCACCTACCACTGCTTGAAATAAGGCACAAGGTCCCACTGCTGCAGTCACACCTCCCCTTGGTTTTGTAGCACATGCTGAGACAAGTATGTGCAAGATGTGTTTTCCTGCTTCTTAGATGTGATGGACTCAGAATCTAGCATCACATATATTTTTGGTTATTGAAAATCAGTTTTGGCTTATCCTGCTGCAGCAGAGAGAGTTCTGTAGATGTTTTAATTTTGGGGGGCTAAAAAAAAGAGTTGTTTTCCACATTGGCAATGCCCTGTATTACCTTGTCAGATGTGTGGCTTTTCCTTCTCTAATTCGTTCCTCCTTTTCAACCACTTAATTTCCCCAACTGGTGACAGACTGGAGGTTGTACAATGAGCACCTGCCAGTTCCCTGTTAATTTTTGGACGTTGCTAATGTAAATCCTTTCCTAGGCCGCCTGTACCAGGTGGAATATGCAATGGAAGCCATTGGACATGCAGGCACTTGCTTGGGAATTCTAGCAAATGATGGGGTGTTGCTGGCAGCAGAGAGACGCAACATCCACAAGCTTCTGGATGAAGTGTTTTTCTCAGAGAAGATATACAAACTGAATGAGTAAGTTGAAACGGTGAGATCTGATAAGGTCCAGGAACAAAACACTGAGCTGTTGCTCAGAAATTGTAGCACTGAACCTGGTTTTATTTTGTTTGAAGTGTTAGTGTTCTTTTTGTTCAGTGTTTTAGACAGGTATGATGATTGTGTCATTGTTTGTTTCAGTTGTTCCCCTTCTAAAGTAGAATTATAACTTTTTTAATCTCAAAGAGAATTTTCTAGGTAGAACAGCCTGTTTGTTAGTACAAGGTAATGTTATTTACAGCACTTGGGAAAATTTGGTATTCTCAGTTTTACAAAATAACCATTTGGGGGGCCAAAGTAAAGAATGCACAGAAAATCACTGTTCTATTTCAGCTCAGCATCATTTCCTAGGTCTTTGTTTTTACTGTTGTGATTCAAAGAGAAAAAGATAATAAATTTGCCTTAGGTTTCTTTGCTACAACTGTAGCAGAGATCATGTATCTCTCTATTACGACTTCCTTTTTAGCTCTCAGGAAGTTAAATTTGGGATGTCAGAGCAAGAGTGTTATGGATCATGCTGCCCTGCCTGTAAGGGAGGTAGAGCTTCATCCTTGCCAGAAGGTGCACATGAAACAAACAGCTTTTCATCCTGCCCCCACTTGGAAAAAATAACCTGGATTATTTTCCTTGAATCCTTTCTGTGTAGTGAAAGCTTTGTAGCAGTATTGGACTAGGTAAAAAGGTGCTAAAGAGCTTATTTTTCTTTCGATCAAGTCAAGATCACAAGGCTTTGGTTACACAGACTCAGCCTGCCAGGTCTGTGTGGCTCCTGCAGCTCCTGCTGTGCTGTCAGGCTTCCAGAGGGGCACTGTGTGCAGCTCCTGGCTCTTGTGAGGACACCTGGGACTCGCCCATCTTTGCTGAGATCCTCAGCACTACATGTAGCACTAACCTACTGTCCTGCTCAAGTGCTGCCCAGCTCTTCTCTAAAGCAGGTGGTTACAGAGTATTTTTAACATGCAGGCAGGAGCTGATGACCCCCTCTAGATGGCAGCTACCTGGCTTGGATCAGGACAGCCCCACAGTGGGTGTTCTGCTTGAACAACTAGATGAGGGTGTGACTGTTGGCTGGAGATGGACTGGGATTCAGTTGATTTGTTTGCTTCTGTTGCAGAGATATGGCCTGCAGCGTGGCAGGAATCACTTCAGATGCCAATGTGCTGACAAATGAGCTGAGGCTGATTGCACAGAGGTGGGTCTGCTGAGAGTGAACGTGGTTTTGCTTGCCTGTGCTGTCAGATTGAGCCCTGTTTGTGTATCAAATCCCACCGAGTGTGTGTTTAGTAGAGCAGAAGTGGATTGCTTAAAATATAACAGCTGCATCAAAGAGGCTGTAGCTTTGGAACCTGTTTCTTGTTAAATGTGGTACAAGATGCTGTCAGCAAAAGAAATTTTGAAACCTGTTTTTTTTTTTTTTTCTCTTAGGTATTTGTTACAGTATCAAGAGCCCATTCCTTGTGAACAACTGGTAACAGCACTGTGTGATATCAAGCAGGCTTATACACAGTTTGGAGGTAATGAAGTGTGATGGATGAACCCTTGTGCTTTTACATCTCTACAGAGTGATTCTGTAATGTCATTTGAAGCATCTGAGTCTCTGTACAGTTCTACCAAATTCTTCTGTAACAAGTTACAGCAGGAAAAAAACCCAGCTGAATTTAATACAGGAATGGGTAGTTATGGTTACTGTTCTGCTACTGAAGGTGCTACTTTTTAGTGATGGAGAAATTGATGGCTGAAATTCCAGCCCATTATGTAGAATGCTTTGAGTGCTCTTGGATTTAGTGAGTGCCTTCAGAAGAGCAGCAAATAATTGTTTGCTGTGGAACATTTTGATATTTTCATAGGATAATAGTGGTTGGGTTTGGGAGGGACCTTTAAAGATCATCTAGTCCAACTCTCCTGCAGTGAGCAGGGACATCTTCAGCTAGATCAGGCTGCTCAGAGCCCTGTCCAACCTGACCTTGAATGTTTCCAGGGATGGGGCTTCTAATGCCTCTTTGGGCAACCTGTTCCACTGTTTCATCATAAAAAATGTCTTCTTTAGATCTAGTCTGCACCTACCCCATATCTGTTGAAAAGCATTGCCCCTTGTCCTGTTGCTACATTGTGGGCCCATCCAGCAAAATGGCCCTGTGGGTGACAGATAAGACTGTATGGAGTGGTATCAATAGTACATGTTAGAAGATGATGCAAGCAGTGTTCCTTAGTATGTGAACTGATACTTCAGGGATTATATATATAGCATGAAAGAATGACCTTTTTATCTGCCTGGCTTTTGACACCATTAAGTTAAGCTACATACTTTCAAGTTTGTATTTAGTCCTGAGATGATAAATTGCAATTTGTGGGGACAGAAGCTGCTCTTTAGGGTTAAATGAAATAAATCTCTGCTTTCCTCCCCCTGTGCCTTATAAAGAAATTGTGGCATGCTTATCTCAAGCAACAGAAGTGCAGAGCAGTCTGTTAAATCCTAGTTCATGTGAACAGATTTGAAAAAAGGAAATAAAAGAAAGTAATTGTCATTCATGACCCATCTTGTTACTAAATTTAGATTGCTAATAGCCTCCTTTTCAACAGGAAAACGTCCTTTTGGTGTTTCGTTGCTGTATATTGGCTGGGATAAGCATTATGGATTTCAGCTGTATCAGAGTGATCCTAGTGGAAATTATGGAGGCTGGAAAGCTACGTGCATTGGGAATAACAGTGCTGTAAGTTCTGGGTTTTTTTCCTCTCAAAACACGAAGCAAAAAAATGTGTAGATGGCACTGTGTTGTTGGTGACTGGTGCAGAGGGCAGTGGGTGAGTGCAGAAGCACTGCTGGTACTTATAGACTGTTGATACCTGGCAAAAAGCAACTGGTTGATTGCCCAAAGATGATATTTTAATTTCTATGACATAGGCAGCTGTGTCCATGCTAAAGCAAGACTACAAAGAAGGAGAAATGACCTTGAAGACTGCACTTGCCTTAGCCATTAAGGTTCTCAACAAAACCATGGATGTGAGCAAACTCTCTGCAGAGAAAGGTAAGCTGTTGGCTGGAATGGGGTGGCACCTTTTGCTTGTAGAAAGAAAATGTAGTGAACATGTTTACACTAGATTGGGTTTATTGGATTTTTAATTGTCTTGTGAGAAATGTTTGTAGAAGCTGCAGCAGCTCTAAAAGACATATAGGTAGTATGGTTGAGGTTGATCAGCTTGGTCAGCTCCAGGGGTTAGACCACAGTTCTGGGGTCACAAGCTGCAGGAATGGCTTCATGTCTGGAGAGGTATTGCTGTGCTTGTGGATGCTGCTGCAGAAGGGGGCTGCTGCCATCTGGCTTCTGGAGAGGCAGGACAAGAGTCTTCTGTTCCATTGTCAGGTGTAAGCAGGAACCTTGCCCTTCTGATGATTGCTGTGTCTCAAAGACAACCTGTAACGTGTTGTCTCTGTTCGTGTGTTTCAGTTGAAATTGCAACACTGACCAGAGAGAATGGCAAGACAGTAATAAGGGTTCTGAAGCAAAAGGAGGTGGAACAGTTGATAAAGCAACATGAGGAGGAAGAAGCAAAAGCTGAACGTGAAAAGAAGGAAAAAGAACAAAAAGAAAAGGATAAATAGAATATTAAATCAAGTGTTCCGGAGGTGATATAGGACCTGCTTCAGTAAAAGATAACCTGGATTTCTTTTGTGTAGAAGCCTCTGAATACACCATGGAGGACCTAGAATTACTTTTGATGAACCAGGTCCTTAATCATCATTCAGAAAATTAATTTACTGCTCCTTACATTGACCAGTAATTGCTTTAATTCTTGAAC